AGTGAACTCTGACATGATCACACCCGGGTAGACATCTCTGTACCAATGTAAAGGTTTCCGTTAATCCTAACGAAATAATCAGGTCCAAAGTGTTGCTCAGTCTCGTTGGGGTCTAAGTTGAATGCAATTCAAAAACTGCCTAAGATGACGTGGGGCCTTAATTGTAGCTCAGAATATTTCTGGTGCATTGAAATCTTCAGCTATTAGCTTAGGACCAATAGGGAAGTTGCTNTAAATTCAGAGCACTGAACAAAGCATGAAGCTGTTGGCCTTTTGTCTGGGTGGACGATAGACACAACCTAACAGTAGCTTTTGGCCCTCAGCCTCGACGCTTTGTACAGGGGCACAAACATCTCCGATTTTCTACAAGACAGTGCTGACATCAGTCTTGAGAGTTCTCTTGGAGCTTTTTTCGCAGCTGCTGTGCACTGCTCGGCCCAACGTAAATCGGTCCTAAGCCCGACTTACTAACTCTATCGTCAGTCAGCCTGTCAGTTTGCACAGAACAGTAGATGGTAACGGCAAATCGAGAGTTTAGAGTTCCTTTGGTAATAAGCCACGTGTTGGCCCATACCACTTCGAGTGTTCTATATTGTAGTTCCACACGTTTTTCCCTCGCCCCAGTCGTCTTCGCCTTTGCAAGAGAAAGAATAGGAAAAAATATCTTCCTCCCTTGTTCAGACGAGAGACCTCACATTTGGAAGCGTTCTCCTGTTGGGGTGGTTAGTAACTGAAAAAATATACCACTGTTTCCAGACCTTCACCCATGCGTCTTCTTTGGGAAACAAGTTCTACCAGCGCTTATCGAGCCCCTTCTTGAAAGCATGTACGCTCCCTAGCTCCACCAGCTCCTTTGTTAACTTATTCCATGAGTTGACTACCCTGTTGCTGAAGAAGTTTGAACTAACCTCTAGTCTCGCGCTCACTTTCTTCAGCCTGTACGTGTGCCCCGTAGTATTGCTTTGCATCCTCTCGAAGAACACTGCTTGATCCGTCTCTGGTAGGCCATTAATAATTTTGAATGCCTCCACCAAGTCACATCGAAGTCTTCTTCTTTCCAAGGAGAAGAGTCCAAGGTCCTGCAGTCTCTGCTTAAACGGTTTCCCTCGATGTCCTTCGATCATCCTTGTGGCTAATCTTTGGACTCCCTCGAGACAAACGGCGTTCATTTTCAAGAAGGGAGCCCAGGCTTGTATCCAAGCTGATTAGAAATTTCGGCTGTATGGATCTAGGGAATCTCAGAACAAGGGCATCGGAGTTGGTTAGGGATGCTCCGGAGGGGGCTAGTATAGAAGATCAGTGGATGTTAATTAGGAGGCATTCGTGGATCTGAAAAAACGAATTTGCTCCGTTGAAACCCAGCCGACGCAGCGACAAGCCGTTGTGGTAGAGGGTAGCCATAGCCAGGGTCATCAAACAACGAAGTAGGTACTAGAGGCGCTTTGGAATTTCCGGAAACCAACAAGCGTGGATTCGTTATAGAAGGTGTAGAAATGAGGCGGTTAGGCTAATACGAGTATCGAAAATGCAACATGAGCTTCGGCCGGCCCAATGCGCCAAAATCAAACCGAAGAAATACTACAGCGACGATCAGTCCAAGGGAGCACTGAGAGATGGTATGGGACCTTTAATTACAGGTGCTCCAGCGGTCGGTATGGACGATCAGAGTAAGGCAGATGCCTTAGCTGGCTATATTGGCAGTGTAAACCGAACAGATAACGATATGTCAAGAATTCTCGAACAAGGAACATCCTCGCCATAAATTGAGGAGCTTCAGCTATCGAAAGAGATAGCGCGGCAGCGCTTGGAGGACCTAGACGTCCATAAAGCGGTTGGACTGAGTGAGATTTATCCTGCTACCATCAGGCGCATTACGAACATCCTCGCAGGACCGGTGCAAAATCTATTCAAAGCTTCACTAGACCAGGGCGTTCTACCGAGGGACTGGAAGATCGCAGCAGTGGTAGTTATACATAATGAGGGAGCCCGATCAGAGTTACTTAACAACAGGCCAGTCAGTCTAACCAGTATTTTGTGTAAGGTGCTAGAAAAAATTATTCGCACCCATGTATGCCAGCACCTAAAACAGCATTCTATGCTGTGTCCAACTCAACACGGGTTTCTCAAAAGTAGATCGTGTTTGACTAATCTACTGTTTCTTCGATGAAGTTCCCAGAAGATTGGACCAGGGCACAGAGTAGATGTATATTATCTTGGTTTTAGCAAGGCGTTTATCTCGGTCAACCAACGCCTGCTATTAGTCAAAATAGAGAAGTTTGCTTTAATGAGAAAAATACATCAATGGCTGTAGGGACCTCGTCACCAACAGGATCTTCAAAGTCAAAGTAGGTGACAAGTGCTCCCGTACAGCACACGTCACAAGTGGTGTATCCCAGGACTCTGTGCTCGGTCCATTGTTGTTCCTACTATTCGCAAATGACCTTGTCATGCTGTTGAGATCGCCCACTTTTTTCTTCGCCGGCGATGTCAAGGTGGTTGGATCGAAGGGAAGAGAGGACTTCAAAAGAGACAAAACTCCTGTCCGCAGCTGGGGCATTAGTGGGATTTGCCGCCAAATACTGGTAAAAGTCGATTGTTTTCCGGGACCGGAGACAGCTTAACAGTGATGTAGGGCCAGAGGTAATCCGGATTAGGGACCTAGGTATCATCACGACTTCCGATTTCCGTTGGGCCGAGCAGTGCACAGGCTCGGAGAGAACTCTTCAGACTAATGTCAGCACTGTCTTGTAGAAAACCGGAGGTGTTCGTGCCACCTCTGTACAAAGCTATAGTTAAACCTCATCTCGAGTACCGCGTGCAGGCATGGTCACACTACTTCATAAAAGATTCTGCCTGCTTAGAGGGAGCTCAGAGGCTCGCAACAAGAATGGTTGAAGGTCAAAGAGGGAAGTCGTATGACCAGAGACTTCATGACCTGGGGCCATTTTTTCTGGAGAGGTGAAGACTCCGGGGTGACCTCATGGAAACCTTCAAAATAATGAAAGTTTTATCGGGCATAAGCCCGGAGAACTTGTTTCAGGAAGACCTCGATTCGAGAACAATGGGTCACTGTAAGAATCTAAGAAAATCTCGATCCAGGATAGTAGCCAGATCACACTTCTTCGGTAATCGGGTAGTAAACTTATGGAATCGACTGCCAGAAGAGATAATAGAACTACCTTCAGTTCAAACCTGCAAACTAGCCCCAGATCGGAGGTGGGACGAAGTAGCTTCTGGGTTGAGAAGTGATTTAGCTCTCCCATTAGGGCACCTGTTGGACGCCTAAGTACCTTAACGTCTATCACCGAGCAGGTAAGGTGAGTTATCCTTTCCTTCAATTTCAAGCAGCAGAACTGACGGAATACTCGATACAGTGGTGGATGTATTTCATACTGAATTTTTTGAAAATCCTTCCGAACCCATAATGATTT